GGTTCAAGCAATTCTCCTGCCTCAGCCTCCCAAATAGCTGGGATTACAGGTGCCTTCCACCACGCCCGGTTAATTTTTGTATTTTTAGTAGAGATGTGGCTTCCCCATGTTGGTCAGGCTGGTCTTGAACCCCTGATCTTGTGATCTGCCCACCTCGGCCTCCCAAAGTGCTCGGATTACAGGCCTGAGCCACCGTGCCTGCCCTCTCCACTCTTTTTAGGCAGAGGGGAGTAAGGTTTGCTTTAAGTTAGGAGGGACTCCCGTGTACCCAATCCATTTGTGTAAATTTCTTCCTTCAGAGTTCTTCAAATCAGCATCACCATTGTTGAAGGCCTCCCACATTGTACTAATTGCGCTACAGGGTTTTACGAACATGAAGTTTATGTTTGGCTGAATTAACCTCCTTGCTGTGGCACAAGGGGGCCATAGGTGTTTTCACCAATTATGAAGCGGGTTCACTGTGTAATGGCTACCAACTTTTCTGAGTACAATGAGACCAAACACATTCATACATAAATTCCATAAAGTGAATTTATTACTTACAAATAGCAAACAAAAGACAACAGAAGCCTAGGATTCAATATGAACCGCTACCACAAGATCAGGAAGGCTACCCAGAGCAGATGGTTGGAGTTTTGACTGTAAACCCTTCACTTGCACTACAACTGAGGGACCCCAGAAAGCAGCCCACCTTGGGTTTTCTCCCACGATGTGGTTTGCTGGACACAAACGTTAAAGGCCACTCTGTTTCGAGCAGGGACTCTAATAGAGCCTGAGCTGTTCTGACCAATGTCACCTGATTATCAGGATATCGCCTTCCCAGCATATCATACAGTTATCTTGAGAACTACCAGTAAGAAAGGGAGGAAAATGGCCCTGCACCCTTCAAACTGAAGGATCAGGATATTTGTTGTGACAGAGGCACAGACAGTAGCGACAGAGTGTTCTTGTGAGCCATCTACTAGTTCTCTTGAACCATGAGGCACCATGGATGTACACCTCATCAGGAGGGTGTAGGGGACAGTGGCAAGGGGAGCAGCAGCACAAGAAACAAACAAGGCCACTACTTCTGCCTACATAATTACTATTGTCTTGGAGTGTACAGTAATTAATAATGTTCACATGGCTGCCCTCAGCATACAGAGATGGTGACCAGAGTAGATGCAGGGACTACAGAGATACAGCCTGATTCTGCTAATTAGGACTTAAGTGTCGGCTTATGTGCTGTGCTTCTGTGCATTAATAGTCCAGGGCCTCAAAACTGCCTGTTAAGCACAGGCCAAATGTCATGCTGGGGTGCAATTAAACATTCATGTCTAGGAAATGAGAGCATTTTAGTGTGGGAGAAGATGACAACACTTGAAGACCACAAAACACTGTGCAGAACAAAGGGAAGGCCCATCGTCAGCTCACGGTTCTGACTCAGGTGACTGCTGATGTGTTACGGAACCATCAGCCGACAGCAGGTAGGTCAAGTTGAGCAGGTGTCCTGCATGAGGGCTGGTCCATTCCATTCGTGTTGCGTTGCCAATTGTTACAATAGCGTCTCATGCACCCCACTGGTGAGGAAGGAATTAGCACCCTAAGTTTACTAGCACCGTTAAACACATAATATCTATTACTAAACAGATAAGCCAGACATCAGTTATTAATTACATATAGGAAGATGGTGTAAGCTCCCACAGGCCCAAACAGGGATTAACTTGGGAGGAGGGACTGGTATCACATTAAAAAAGTGAAGATGTTCCTTTTTTTTTCCTTTTTTTTTGAGACAGAATCTCGCTCTATCACTCTTGCTGGAGTGCAGTGGTGTGATCTCGGCTCACTGCAAGGTCCGTCTCCCATGTTCATGCCATTCTCTGCCTCAGCCTCCCTAGAAGCTGAGACTACAGGTGCCCACCACCATGCGTGGCTGATTTTTTGTAGTTTTAGTAAAGACGGGGTTTCACCGTGTTAGCCAGGATGGTCTCCATCTCCTGACCTCGTGATCCGCCCGCCTCGACCTCCCTAAGTGCTGGGATTACAGGCGTGAGTCACTGTGCCCGGCTGAGGATGTTCCTTTGTTCCTACAGGAGTACGTGATTGGTTTGTCTGTTGGCTGGTAGGGAACTGAACTAACCCTAACCCTAACCCTAACCCTAACCCCCCGCGATCGGGCTCCCAGCCGCCACCCCCGGCCCGCCCCCCTGGCTTCTGGGAGCCTTGTGGACTCACAGCCTCTTTCTGATATTTTGAGTGATATCATCTCCCCATCTGAAAATTTTCAACTCCTTCTCAGACAATTGTACACCCCCAGTGTGCACACCCTCAGAGGGAGTAACCCCCTCTGTATTAGGAGTCATATCAGCCTCTTCCTCCCTGAATATTCAGAACAGTATCTCACAGGTGTTTCTACTTCCGGTGATACTGATTGTCATTTCCTCCTCTCCCAAGCAGAAGTTCGAAACACTATCACGGAGGGTGTACACCGTCTGTGATATAGAAATTAACATCGTCCTCTCCCCGGTGGATATCAGGAACAAGTCTATTAATCATTAATATTAATAATTATATTAATAATTATTATTATTGATACTAATGATCACAATAAAGAGAGTAAAAATTAATACTGGCTTAAAATGGTAACGATTTGTAATAATAATTATTAGTAATATCACTATTAATAATAATATTATGATATTAGCTATTAATGTGACTTAAATCAATACCCAGAGACGCTGGGAATCAAATAATAGTTAGTATTAGGAACTAATAATATTATTGCATGACATTAATATTAATAATTAATTGAAAACATGCGTAATCATGTGTTTAAAATCATTATCCATCATTAATAATGGTATCCTATGAATTTTTAGTATCATTGATAATTATTAAAATCGATCATTGATGATTAATAATCATATTATTATTCCTAATACCACAGGAAGTGTAAACCTACTTGTGATGCTGTTCTTCATATCCAGGGACGGAAAGCAGGACTTTAGTTTTAATATCGCAGTAGGTGTACACTCACCGCGTGACACTGATCCTAATATAAAGGAGGGTAGAGTATCACATGACTCCAAACATAACAATGAATGGATAGCTACCCGGTAATATTACTCGTAATATTCCCGGAAGACACCTATGCTATTAGTCCGAATATGGCACTGAGGGTACAGCTCTTCTGAGATATTGTTCCTAGTATACGGAGGGGGAGAGGATGATAATAATTCGCAGGCTGCGTGCTCCCGCCCAGTGATATTGTAATTACTATCCTCGGAGGGAGAGGATGATACTGCACTCTGTACAGCAGAAGGCGTACACCCAGTCTGGGATATTGTTTCTAATATCCACGGAGGGGACAGGCTGATATTACTCGCAATGTGGCACAGGGTGGAAGTTCACCCAGTTATTAATCTCAGTATCACACACACTGTACAACGCCATGTGATACTCTTCCAACTGTCCCCGCGACCGGGCCCCGAGCCGCCACCCCCGGCCCGCCCCCCTGGCTTCTGGGAGCCCCACCGCCGGGGGTGCAGGCACCCCCCGCGATCGGGCTCCCAGCCGCCACCCCCGGCCCGCCCCCCTGGCTTCTGGGAGCCCCATCACCCAGGTGGGACTGCAGTGGCTCACTGCAACCTCCACCTCCCAGGCTCAAGCAATCCTCCAACCTCAGCCTGCCAAGTACCTGGGACCACAGGTGTGTGGCACCACAGCCAACTAATTTTTTGTGTTTTTGGTAGAGACATGGTTTTACCATGTTGCCCAAGCTGGTCTCAAACTCCTGAGCTCAGGCGCTCCACCCGCCTTGGCTTCCCAAAGTGCTGGGATTACAGGCGTGCCCAGCCGATTACATACTTTAAATTAAATAATGTAATTCTCACAAGACTTCAGACTTCATGACTTCCACTGCATAGAATCTCTCAGTTGATTACATCCCCATGGCACCTATTTTTTCATTAGGTGCCATCAATTATAGATAAGGTCTTTTTTTCAAATATGATGTTGCCATCTCTAGGTTAACAGCCAGCTGACATCTGTTACATGTATAGCAGTTAATTTCTTTAAAAAGGGGAACAGAGGAGGAAAGAGGCTTAGTTTACGCCAAGAGAATCGTCAAGAGATACAGCAAAGTAGATATTTTTAAAATGTTCATTCTTTTTTTTTTTTTTTTTGAGACGGAGTCTTGCTCTGTCGCCCAGGTTGGAGTACAATGGCACGATCTCGGCTCATTGCTACCTCCGCCTCCTGGGTTCAAGCAATTCTCCTGCCTCAGCCTCCCGAGTAGCTGGGATTACAGGTGCCCACTACCATGCCCAGCTAATATTTGTATTTTTAGTAGAGACGGGGTTTCTCTATGTTGTCCAGGCTGCTCTCGAACCCCTGACCTCAGGTGATCCACCTACCTCAGCCTTCCAAAGTGCTGGAATTACAGGCGTGAGCCACCGCACCCAGCCTAAAAACGTTAATTCTTTATAAATTATATGTTTGGATCATTTTTAGACTTGATTTAAATTTATACTTTTCTATTTTTCCAAGTTTTAGAAAGCCAGCGTGAGAGGGATTTCATTTCATCATGATTTTTTTTTTTAACACTTGAGTCACTTGAGTCATTAAAATAACTCCAACATATTCATGAAGTATCTTCACAAAATGGACTTAAATGTGAAAGTCGGCTTTTGTTGAGCCTCAGAAATCAAACATTGGGCCAGGCCTGGTGGCTCACGCCAGTAATCCATCCCAACATTTTGGGAGGCTGAGGCAGGCAGATCACGAGGTCAGGAGATCAAGACCATCCTGGCTAAAATGGTGAAACCCCGTCTCTACTGAAAATACAAAAAATTAGCCGGGTGTGGTGGCGGACGCCTGTAGTCCCAGCTACTCAGGAAGCTGAGGCAGGAGAATCGCTTGAACCCAGGAGACGGAGGTTGCAGTGAGCCGAGATCGCGCCACTGCACTCCACCCTGGACTCAAAAAAAAGGAGGGAGGGAGGAAGGAAGGGGAAAGGATATTTTGTCAGCACGAAATATTTAAGACAACAAAGGCAGGCAGGCAGGAAGGATATTTTGTCAATAGCACTAAATATTTATGACAACAAAGGCGAAGACCAAGGGTTTCCCTCTGACCAGCACACCATGAGGCACAAGATAGGTTCAACAGACTGTTTCACATCATTTGTATTGTCACTGAATCTTCTGGGAGGAGAAATCTGCACTCGCTGTCTTTGCTTCCTTAACCCAGTCACTCAGCAACCCACTGCTCCCTGACTTCACACCTCATCTCCACTGAAACTGCTTTGCTAGCTAATCCCCACTCATCCTTCAAGATTCAGGTCAGTAGCCAATTTGAGGAATACTTCTTTGACCCCTTTGGTGGAATTAAGAGCTGCTTTCAGAGCTCAAGGTAATGTATATATGACGTCTGTCCTTGCACTTACTGTGTAGTATTGAAAAATATCTGTTTACATCTGTCTTTGTTACCAGATATAAATGAGTTCCTCAAGGTCAGAGACTGTTTTTATGCATTTCTATATCTCCAACACCTGGCAAAGTGCCTAGGCCGTAAAAGGTACTTGATAAATCTTGTTGAACTGACCTGACCTACTCTCAATGAACCCACATTTTAGTGGGAGAGACAACTTGCTGACAACTGAAATATTATATAATGAAGTCAGTGCCACACAAGATGTGTGTTCAAGGGGTTATAGGAGCATTGAGGAGGTACCACATGTTGTCCCCCTTACGATGTCAAAAACTAAACTGTGAGGAAATTGGAAATAAGGTCAGAGTTACACTGTGGTTCTCCACGTAGGAGAATAGAGAAAAGAGAGCCTTATGCTAATACTACATGTACTATAAATACTAAGCAAGACTGTGTACTCTGGGTGATCATGTTCTTTTCCTGAAGCAGGATCTCAGCAGATTATGGTGACCATGCAAACAGACATCTCTGGTGCCTGGTGCCCTCCATTTCTGGGAGATAATCAGTTTGTTGTCCCACCACCTGCTTATGTCAATGCTCCACGTGGGCACCAATACATGCCCCTTTGTGAAGCAAAAATGAGCGCATTTCTCTCAATAAAGCAGTATAAACCATCTTGAGGCCTGATAAAACTCTTGTCTTTTCAAAGGCATACCTTCCCTTAGAATCAGTGGTTACTGAAGGTCTTTTCTTATGTAATCCAGATGATCTGCCTCTGAAACCTTCCATGGGCACAGAAATTTCTGCAAGGAAAGCATCAGCAGTCAGAATAATTTGGTGAGGCAGATTTGGCACAGAATACCCTGACTGAGGTATTGCTCCCAAAGGAGCAATTCTCTGGGGTTAGGAGTCAATCATTAGGTGCCTACAAAACACCTTGTTATTTTGACTAAACCTGCCTTGCTATCAAGGAGAAAAAAGAACTGTGCACTGAAAACCAGAACGGCCAAAAAAGAATGCGGCTGTGGTCATGGAAAAGGTCCTTGAATAACAGGGAAAGGGAGACAGGGCAGTTGAAGGAAGGATAGGAAAAGGCTACTTCCTAGCAGGAATTAATAAACTAATGTTTTTATTATTTAATAAGAGAAACCCATTCCCTTGTTTCAAATAAGGCAAAGATAAGTTAGGATTGGATGTAGCTATAGATCACTATTTCTGGCACAGGCTGGTAAAAATAAAGGAGGTCAGAACACAACCCCACTCTCACCCATATCCCACTTTGCAAAAACCATGACCCAACTGCCTCTGTAGATACTGGACTGTGGACTGCAGGCGAAGCTTCAGAAGCCTTTGCTCTACTGAGTGATCTACCTTTAGATTGACAGCAGCAGCTGCGGAGTAACATCTGAATGTTGACTGACAATGCAGTTTGTGGGAATAAAGCAGGGAGGGAAACCCTTTAACCAGTTTCCATTTCTTGGTGTCTTGATGTTTTCATCTTACTAAAGAATCAAACCGTGGTATAATCCAGAGGAAGAGCATCCCTCATCCTGGCAGCCCTGCTATACCACATCTGCTTATCCATAGTGAAAGAAACCATATTTTTAAGAAAATATGAAATGCAGAGATGAAAACTGTTTTAGAGCAAATGATTTTAAATAAAAAGAAGGTTGCGTACTCATTTTAAATGATTTTAATTTTCTGAATATTATGTTCCAACTCAAGATATTGCACAATGCTTTAATATTACACTTGTTATTTTTCTCACACTAGTGAGATTTTGATAAACATAGTTGACTTTGGAAGTAACAGAGAATGTTTTCATTGGTTAAATAATTTCAATGACCTGTGAGGAACTGAAAGCAAGCTATTACATTCATATAAAAGATAAGTACATATCCATAAATTCACTTGGATTCAATGAAAAATAATAAACTCATGTACTTGATAAAACTTAAAGGAAACAAAATTTTAAATGGTGCAAAAATAGAAAGTATTTCTTAAAGTTTTCAGTGTACTTTTGCTTTTGAAAACCCTTAGACCTAAAAGAATTCTAAGAATATCAGGCCACATTATAAACCCCTTATTTGTAGAAGCAAACAGTTGATAATTTTAAAACAAAATCTAGATTAAATAAATATAGTTCTTCATTATTAAAATAATAAAATCTATGATGGTAAGGTAAAATTTCCCTAAATAATATAAACAAAAAACGACACCAGAAAATAAATGTATCATGTTATGGCATCTTTAAACATTTCTGTCCAAATGTATGGATCTACAGCATTTTCCCTAGGTAACACACACAGTTGTTATCACATTATTATGGAATAAATGCTGAAAAATTAAGAAAAAAATACTAATGGTCACTAGGCCAAAGTCAATTCCAAAAAACTCTCTCAATTTTTATAAACTTTTATTATAGTGATTTTTATTGTATTACAACAATTTTTTTCTTTTTTTGCTTTGCTTTGCGATTCATATTTTTAGCAGAGGCATAGCACTGGAGATAAAGAAGAGGAAATATGCCTCAGGTGCCAGTTGTGTTTTATTAACTTCCATTTTGCACTTTTGCTATTTTTAGACTTGTTGCTCATCAGATGCATGAACACACCCTACTTTTGCTTTTTTTTTTTTTTTTTAATTCATTTCCAGGAAAACTCAACCACAGCATTAGGAGAAAAGGCAAAAACTTTACATTGTCTGATACACCATTTTTTCTTGCTCTGCCACTGATTTTTAGTAACTGTGTATTACTGAAGTAGTGTTGTCTCTATTAATGCTTAGAGATTACACACCATAAATTTTTTTATGGTCATCCTAAGATACAATGAATTCTTCACATTTTGTGAAAATCATAGGCATCTGACAGCTGGTGTATTTATCTACTATCTTCATCAAACTCGAATATTTTATAAAATACTTGAGAAAAGCTCTCTACCAAAGATATCCTCATGAAACACTCTCTTATCAGAAAGAAAAGGGTAAAATTACGGATTACTTCAATTGAACTAGAAACACTGATTATGATTATATTTCAGAAAACAGTTACAATTATTTCATTAAAAATGATTCTCATTTAGATTTGGAGACTTATTTACAAGGAAAGATAGAGAAATTTTATGAGCCTAGGATTGTGCCAGGATTGCATGTGAGGGCAGTTTTTTCAAATGGATATGCATGTTGAGAAGTGACTATTTATGATCTTATTTTCTTATTCATTAGATAAGGAGATGATCAGTGTTTTCTGGGATTTTTTGTTGTTGTTAATTTTGCATATTCTCTTATTTCAAAATTAATCTAATTAATTTTATTTGTGTGTCGCCCAGATTGCTTTTGGGTTTAAACAGAGGACTTAATCATAGCATGGACGGAAAAAGCTCAGCATCTATCTAAATGACTCTAATTGCACCATCATCCTCATTGTTCTTGTAAGTTCCAAGTTCATTATAAATCCAGGGAGGAAAAAACCCTTCAAATCCAAATATACATACATTTCTTATAGTATTTTAATTTAAATCAAGAAGTATTTAAAATCTTATCCTCTAACATTTTCACTATTAGTATAATAAAATTCCCACAAGTTGAGAAAGTTATTTGCTTCAAATACGAATCTAATATATCAGAATAATTTTGCCATCAGAGGTACAAACATTGGCAAATAGGATACTTAACTGTGAATCAAAAAATATAACAGTCTAACTAAAACACTTTTCTAATTGAAAATGTCATTACAGTCAACATTTTCAGAAAACAAAACCCAGTAACAATTCTAAAAATCTTCACACATGCACACTCCATTTTTCTTAGTAACCAAAATTCTGGAAGATTATGTGATGTTTTCACAATCATTCAAGCTCGGGCAAGCCTACTGTAACATTTCTTTTACTTTTAAAAATTAAAAATAATTTTAACATGTCATATAATTTACATGTTGAAAATGATTTGCCAATTTCCCAAGGTGTACCTTAAAACCTTCCAGGGTTAGATAGGGGAGGAAATCCAGCATTAATTTTTCTATTCCAGAGACTCAGTTTGGATGCCCGTGTGTGGGCTTCTAAAGCTGAGCACTACCTGTGGACTAGAGAAATGGGCCAGCAGTCCTCCTTGTGTGGCTTTTAGTTATCCTTGTGACACTCGGAAGCATGCTGTCTTTAATTTCAGTAAAGTTACATGATAAATGATTTCCACATTCAGAAACTGATGTGTCAACTCTAATTTATCTTTAAAGTTATCATTAAAGACCTTAATAAAAACATGTCCATATTAACAGTCTTTAAAAAAAAAAGTATATTACCAGGGTTTCAAGTTGGGACTTTAGATGCACATTTTCACATAAACCTAAATTCAACAGTAGCTCTGACATTGAGATTTCAGTAATGCATGTTGTGCTTTTTATCTTCAAAGAATATATTCTCTAACCTACCTGTAGTTATGAAAGTCTTTCAGAATCAAGGGGAAAAAAGTTATCGATCCTGAGATTTCTTGTACTACTTTTTCTTTCTGGATTTTGGGGGTTTTTTTTGTGTGTGTATGGGTTTGTCTTTGTTTTGAGAGTCTCATTCTGTCACCCAGGCTGGAGTGCAGTGACACAATCATGGCTCACTGCAGCTTCCATCTCCTGGGCTCAAGTGATCCTCTCACCTCAGCCTCCCAAATAGCTAGGACTACAGGCAGGAGCAACCAGGCCCAGCTACCTTTTTTTTTTTTTTTTTTTTTAAGTAACTCTCACTGTGTTGCCCAGGCTGATCCTGAACTCCTGGGCTTAAGCGATTCTCCCGCCTTGGCCTCCCAGAGTGCTGGGATTACAGGCATGACCCACCATGCCCAGTCTTATTTTTTTAAAAAGATACTGACATTTTAGGCCTGTTTTTATATTCAAGTTTTGGTTGGATTAGATTGTGAGAACTAGCTTTATTTCACAGTCCTTATTATAAGTCGTATACATACAAGTAAATAATTCAATCAGAAGTGTAATTGAACTGTCAGTCGAAGCTGTTCTTATTACCCTCACTGGTTAAACTGGTACATCTCCTTTTATGAATTTGTTCTATATAAAAATCAATTCATCCAAGGTTTTTGGCCCAGAACACCAGAAAGAGCAACTATAGAAACTGATTTTTAGTATTTAAAATTAAGCTTTTAAGTCAGAGCATTATTTGTTAGTATTGAACCATGATCAGAACCATAGCATTGTACAAGCAATAGTAAAACCTCTTCCAGAATCTCCTGCTTGTAAGTTTTACCTCTTGAATTTACCTCAGGAAATATAGTTGTACTTTCTTTTTTTCAGAATTAACAAATTGATAAAAAGAAAATAATTATAGGTTACTATTTTGAATGCCACAATACCAACACTTTGAAGAACTGACAGTGTATTCTGTAGATATATGTGCCAGAGACTATGAAAAAGGGAAACACTTTAGGAAAAAAATTACATTACAAAATGTATTATAAAAAATAAGTTATACATCATGTGCCCATAGACCTGAAAGCTTTGCAAAAAGAAATTTCTTTTGGCACATAGATTGAATTGCTTTCTTGCTACATATTTTCATACTATCAGCAAGGCCATTTTCAGCTTTCACATTATATCCTTAAAAAAAAAAAATCACTGGAAGTAGTAAAATATTTCCAGTAGTGATCAGTAGCATGGAGGACCTTAGTCATGAATGAGGGCTGTCCATTCAATAGGGATTCAGAGGTCATACACACACCCAGTATGTGCTTGGTTTACCATTTCATCTGGAGTTCATTCGTAACTGGTGAATGATGATGCTTTCTATAAAGAGAAAAAAGACATGGCATTTTCAATTAAACTGAAACTGAGAATCAAGCTACATCATTTCACTAAAAGATCATAAATGTTAAATAACAAAACAAACAAAAACTGGTACATGAGGCTAATAGACGCTCCTGCATTACTGTTCTTGGGCAATGTCTTTATATTGGCATATGTACTTTACCTCGAAATTTCTTAAAGCCCTTTAGAAACTTCGTCTAATGTTCTGACAATAGTAGATCAGTTTTAATCAAGGTAAGAACTGAAAACAAAGATAGTAATTACTATATACAAACCCCATAATGAGAAACCAGACTATTTCCTAGAAGTAACTAATCTTCCAGCCAAACTTTCTGTTCTGAACAATGTTTATACCCCTTCAATTTCTTTGTGTGTGTGTGTGTGTGTGTGTGGATTAGAGTTTTAATAAGGAGATATTATTTCTAAGAAGTCAATAAATATAGGTGACTTACTTTTGTCTCTGACTGCTTCTTTTTTGCATAACTATATGTTTGTTATTATTATTATTATTATTATTTTTGAGATTGAGTCTCGCTCTGTCACCCAGGCTGGAGTGCAGTGGCGCAGTCTCGGTTCGCTGCAAGCTCTGCCTCCCAGGTTCACACCATTCTCCTGCCTCAGCCTCCCGAGTAGCTGGGACTACAGGCGTCCGCTACCATGCCCAGCTAATTTTTTGTATTAGAGATGGGGTTTCACCGTGTTAGTCAGGATGGTCTTAATCTCCTGACTTCATGATCTGCCTGCCTCGGCCCCCGTATATGTTTTAAAATATAAATTTATTCTTATAAAAATAAATTTAAACTAGATTGAGATAGTAATTACAATAGTCCAGCACATTATGGATAATTAATATTTATATTCAGCTGGTTTTTCTTTTATAGTAACCTTTATGCCTTCATGAACATGTATCAGTATGGCTCACTTCATTCATTTATTGAGGCTGTATACGGTGCTAGGTAGGCATGGAACTACATGTACGACCAAATGAGACAGATTCCCAACATCACTGAGATTATACACAGCAGAGGAAAGAAAAGTTTCAAACCTCAAATAGTTTCTTCACCTGAAAAATTTATTATTAATGCCTCCTTGTCAACATATGGTATATGTTGTGAGTGCAGGGACTTATGTCAGGGTTTATCGATAACATGAAGAAATTTCTACCTATTATTTTCACATTAATCTCAAGTCCCTAGTATTTAAGTTTTATTTTTACTTATGTAGTTAGTATATAAGTAAACATTAATTAAATCGTATTACGCCATAGACTTATAGGTTCATAGTAATTACACACAGTGCATGATTATCTGCCAAAAAGAAAATGTTTTCTTAATTTGGTGGTGTTAACTTTACCGCATGATGACCAATAGGTGGAGCTATTTCCATTTTGTCCCTCGGTCTTTTGGCTTGAATTTGATGTAGATAAGAAAGCCAAGTAAGATGAAATATAGAATGTCTTATATACCTAAGAATATTTAGCTATGAAGGTTTTCTGAAGCTCTTAAGACATACATACTATATTGTACTATGCCAGAAGCCCTAATAAACCATCTCATTTTTTTCATTGAAAAAATGTTCCAGCTTCAACCTCTTTAAATGCCTAAAAATATATCAAAATCTTCAGGCAAAAAAATTTAAATACTAATTAAATAATATGTAGTTAAAAATTAGCATCCAAAATAAAAATGATGTTTCTCACTACTTTAAAAAAAAAAACAGTTCTGCAGTAGATTCCAAATAGTAAAAAGACCCAGGTCTCAAATCTCCCTGGTAAAATTAAAGTATCTCCAATTTCCTTCCCTTAAGAAAGCATAGATAAAGAGTGAAATCAGAATTGTTCTTATTGTGGATGTAATTCAGAAATCTTTTGCCTTTGCTTCCACGGTACAAAGTAAGGGTATTAGAGAGCATCTCAAAAATCCCTTTAAGGGTGAACATTTTGTATTACTACAATACCTTCTTTCTCCTTCAGTGTGCAGCAGTGGACATTTACAAAATACTAGGACTAATGTCTTTTTTTTGTTTTTTTTTTTTTTTGAGACGGAGTCTCGCTCTGTCGCCCAGGCTGGAGTGCAGTGGCCGGATCTCAGCTCACTGCAAGCTCCGCCTCCCAGGTTCACGCCATTCTCTTGCCTCAGCCTCCCGAGTAGCTGGGACTACAGGCGCCGCCACCTCGCCCGGCTAGTTTTTTGTATTTTTAGTAGAGACGGGGTTTCACCGTGTCAGCCAGGATGGTCTCGATCTCCTGACCTCGTGATCCGCCCGCCTCGGCCTCCCAAAGCGCTGGGATTACAGGCTTGAGCCACCGCGCCCGGCCAGTTGCCTTGTCTTAATCCTGGCGTTTCGAAATCTCCATCATAGTAATAAGGGTCCGTACACAGAAGAAACAATGTCTTGGTGGACCAAAACATTTAATTACTGTATTTAAATTAGCAAACTCATAATCCTTGCATGCTATGTATGCTAATGCTATTAATCAGATTGTGTTATTAAATGTCTCAGAAATATTTGACAATGCTAAATAAGAGTTTATCTTATATAAATTGTACTTTAACAAAAGGTGGTATTTAATATTTATGTACATAAACTTTATTTAAACGAATACAATTAAGCCCCGAATTATGTTGTTTATATGGAGATATACTTCATTTTATTTCTAGAGATAGTGAAATAAAATCTATATGATATTGGCTGTATTAATTGAAACTTATTAAACAGATTTACTAAATCTATAGTTGCTTATTAGCTATGTTTTCCCCAAGTCTCAACTGAACTTACTCAAATAAGAATCACCCAGCCAATACACAAAATTGTGAGAAATTTTTAAAATGTTGCTTTAAAGCCGGGCTTGGTGGCTCACGCCTGTAATCCCAGCACTTTGGGATGATGAAGCGGGTGGATCACTTGAGGTCAGGAGTTCAAGACCAGTCTGGCCAACATGGTGAAACCCCATCTCTACTAAAAATACAAGAAATTAGTTGGGCACGGTGGCATGCACCTGTAATCCCAATTCCTCTGGAGGCTGAGGCGGGAAAATGGCTTGAATCCAGGAGGCAGAAGTTGCAGTGAGCCGAGATGGCACCACTGCACTCCAGCCTAGGGGACAGAGCGAGACTCAGTCTCAAAAAATATATATTGCTTTCAGCCATTACATTTTGAAGTAACTCATTATACAGTAAAATTGTCTGAGGTACATGCAGTCCATGTTGCCAGCAAAAGAAAAATTAAATACATTTTTAAAAATTAGTGCTTTGGGGATTAATGCCATTCTTTATGTAAAAAAAAGAGACACTTGATTTCCCAAGTCTCTTCCTGTCTTTTTATATATAGTACAATAAAATAATGTAAATCTTATGAAGTTACAGATTCAATGAGCAAATTTTCTTCCATCTCCTACTGTCTTCATTTCATCCCAGAACAAGATTCAAATATAGGTCATTTGGGGCCTCTAAAATAACCTCAGTAAAATCAGGTATAATTTTTCATAACTTTTCTTCTTATAGATCATAATTTTGCACAACTATCATAATTTTTCTTCTTACAGATACCACTTTTCTGACAATAGTGATTTGGAGAGCACTTTATAGGCAGATTGGAACCAAAGGCCATAGGTATTTACCACCTCTGTCAGCAAACTCAAAATAACAAAGCACTTAAATTTGGGGCCCTCTGATATGAAGATGTTTAGTAACATAATTTCCTTTTTTTCCTAATTGAAAGTTTAAAAAACTCTAAATTTCAATGAACATATACATATGAGACACTGAGTTTTTATATATTTTTGACATTAGTGGCTTATAAAGTATACTTAGAGACAATTTCCCCTATATGTTTCTCTCTAGTGTTACCTTGATGTTTTTTTCTTTAAGAAAACTTCAGGTAACACATTAAATACATTATTTGTTATTACGACATTATTGTGAAATGGTATAGTTTTTATTAAGTCTTTTAGTACACTAGCTATTGGATAACTTCCTGGAAAGGAAGTTCAACATGTTATCAATTCCTAATTACACTTGATTTCTGAGCTTACTAAATATTTATCCTCCTTGGGTGGTATCCCAAAACTACTAGCCAGTCATATGACTTGAGATCCAAAGCTGTATGCATGAGAGAGGATTTGGGGAGGCATTTGGGGGAGAATGTCTCCTGAGTGCAGAGTGAGGCAACCTCACAACAAATTAGAATTCTGTTTCCTCCCAGGAGGTCTCCTTGGCTGTAGAGTGGGAAAGATGTACTCCCTAAAAAACCAATACCTCCCTCCCAAGTAATTCATGTTTATACACTGCCAAACACTGCAGAGGAACACTTGAGCTCTAAATTAAAAACAAACAAACAAAAAATTCTTCTCTAGCAAATAAGGCCACATCACTTTAATAACTAGCCTCTAAGTTCACATACTAAAGACAAAACATACCAGAAATTCAACTCATAACAAGATGTTACATCAGCAAAGGAGGACTGCTTTATCCATAGGAAGCTGTACACCAAGTTACAGAACAAAAACATGTCCTCTTGGATTTTGCATCAATTTGCCTATATATAGCCTGCTTCCCATGTTCTATGGCCCCCTACCCACCAGGGGCTCTGCCTAGAGGTACCAGGTTAGGGCTGTGCTATTCTTCCCCTCCCCCGACCAACTACCAAACATCAGCTTTGAACCTACTGGCCTCAGAACAACTTGTCCAGTGCAAAAATGCCCTACATTCTATATACCGTTTAGAAATACTTAGATATGATTTACTTTTAAGTTTCTCATTTTCATAAACTGCTTCAGGGTTCAATCCTGTTATTATCACATTCAGAAATTAATCACAGTTCTGTTAAAACATCTGTTTTAAATAGGAAGTTCAAGAAACTTCCTCTCTTGATTTGGACTTGTATTCCTCTTTTGGATTCAGATCAGCTAATTAAAAATACTTCCACTAATAGGTTCTGTCATTTGCTCTAGGAAACTTTTGAACCAGATGATACAAAGTCTCTTGGGAGTTCTCAAGCACCTAATAGTTTATTTGCTTCCTTCCAGCAGATTTCCCACTCCACCATCAGCCCAAATTATCCCCTTACCTCCCCAGGATGCAGAAGTCACCAATAATCACAGTGAAAACTCATAAATTCTTTTTTGGCAAGCTAATTTCTTATCTCCAGCATAGATTGCTGTTTTACAGATACAAGCAAATTTGAATTAGTTCCCATATGTAACGTTAACCATAAATAAAAACTAAGTAATGGAAAAACAGGAAAGTATTTGAGCAAAGCATGCGGAGGTTCTACTTTTTTTTTTTTTTTTTAACCAAAAACACCTTTATTCTTGTCTTCAGAGAAGAAGCTCTTTTCTTCTTTTTCCAGGATAATCATGATTAACTTACAAAAATGGGTACACACCTTCAAAGCACTTCCCTTTAACGGGAAACTTAGCTTTATGGGATTTAAACATTAGAAGGTGGGGGGAAAAAAATTCCATTTTCTTGTCATTAAGAGACAAAACAGAATCTAGCATAAGTCAAGGAAACTCATTCACACTTCAGGTCCTTCTCCTCCAGGAACCAGCATTGTTATATTATTTCCATTTAGCAAAATCTGGTCTAATTTAGTAATCCTTCTTCCTTATGGTGTGATTTCAAACTCAGTGACATCTTCCAGTACCATATTGACAAAGTCATCAAATCCTAGAAGAGTACCAACAATTTCCTTATCACTCTTCATCACAATGTGAATTCTTGATCCTATACATTTGTCCACAAGCTCTAATGGCAGCAGCTGTGATGGGTTGGTAGTAGCATTAGCCGCTGTGGCTACGCCGGAAGTGGGTTCTACTCTTTTAAACACAGATGGTAAATACCTAGGTTGTTCTAAGTCTATGGCTAGTCACAGAATAGCATGCAAAATAACATTATGTGTGAAAACTGAGGTCACTGCACTTTTTAAATGAGGACAATATTCAAAATATTATTATAAGAACTCTTTCACATAGTTTCTATATAAATATCTTAGTAGCTCAAAATCATTTAGCAGTATTATTTTGACCCAGTGAGTATGAGTGTTTCAATCTATGTATGCATGTACACTTTACTCACTTGAAGTAGTTTCATCATATGAAATAATGAATAACGTACTAGGAGAAACTGAAGAACTGATTTTTTGGTCCTGGTCTTATCATTAATAAGATGGTTAGACATCTGTATGCCTCAGGGCTTTTTTAAAAAGGGTTTATTGCTGTTTGCCTTCTTTAGTAATAGATAATTATCCTCTTGATCTCTAAGGTCTACTTCAGTTCTAACCAGTTCTGTGATTTTGCATATATGTAGCATTAGCAGAAGTAGAGAGGCCAAAAGTACTTTTACCAGATAAGTAATTAATCATTAGATCTTAGGAAAAACATTGTAGCAGGATCTTGTAAGGTGCTTGCTAAACAATAGTGAAGCATATTATATTATGACTCTAAGGGAGAATGCCAGAATCATAAAAAATTATAGCTCCGTGCTAAGTCATAGGCCAAGGTAGGGTGATATGCCGAAGGTTACACAACCTTTTGGTGGCAGAAAAGAGTGTGGCTCCAGTCTCATGCTTTTCAGTTCTCTCTGGTATCGAGTCCATTTTTCAGCAGGCCTTCTTCTCTGGATATTCACCCTGATATCTATCCTAAATCTAAATCCTGCTTTTTGGTGGTGTTTGGTCCTTTAAAATGAGAGCCTGTCATCCTATTTCGAGGGTCCTTCATGAACTTGAAGAGCATGAGACAAACCCCTGAAACCTCCTCGTTCTTGAAGTGCCTTTGTGTTCCGCTGGGGGAGTCGGAAAGGGTGAGGAAAGGGACATTTGTAACTCATGCATGTACTGTGTGTTTATACTTCACAGAAAGCTCTCAGGCCCCTTTCTTCGCAGGCATGGTGGCTTCTGAGGTGAGAACTCCCCAGTCCAGGACTCCTGGCTGTTTTGCATCCATCACCTGCTGTTGTGCCTTTGGAGGGAAATAGAAGTAACTTTCACCATCCAAAAATGACAGTACCTGGACTTCCTGTAATTCTGCCACCTCATTACCTGCATGTTCTCACACAGGACTTCTTAGCTGCTTCCATGTCATTCTCACTGGTTTGTGTTGCAAAGAGAGGAATCAGAAATAGCTCTTGCTTGCCCAACTTTCTGCCATTTTTCAGCTGCTAGTTTTGTTTATCTACAGTGAGTGCCAAGCTTTCTACAGCAGTGGACAGGCCTTTAAACCCCAGGATAGATTCTGAAATAATTGTTTATCTTCCTAGAAGAGGTAACATTCATAAAATAGTCTTTGAACAGAGAAGGACACATCTGCCAAAAGAAAAATAGGAGAAAGGGCAATTCAGGGAGAAGGAACAAATTGAGCAAGTCATTAAGCCTGGAGTGTGGGGGTCCTGCCAAGGGAAGGGAAAGGTGCTCAGAAGAATGGAGAAGTAGAGCCCAGTCACAGAGTGCCTCAAGTACATAGCATTGTATTCTGTGAGTAATGAGGAACTTTTGGGGGGTTTTCAAATAGAGATGATTATGATATGATATGATTTGATATGATATGATATGATCAACTTGCACTTTGGAAAACTGCAAGAATGAAAAATGAATCCTAGAGTTTTGAGACTGGAGATTACAAGACCAACTAGGAGGGTATCAGAGCAACCCAGATGAAAAGTAGTTAAAACCCTCAATTTAGGCCATGGTAGGGGAAATGGAGAGGAAGAATCAGCTGCTAGGGATGTTAGTGAATAAGCAGGACTTGCTGAATGAGGGCAGAAGGAGAAGGAGAAGCATAGATGGCTACCAGGTTTCTAGCTTGAGAGACTGAATGGGTCAGGATATCCCTGTTGAGATGGAGAATAATAAGAGAAGAAGATTTGGAGGAAGACGGGGCGTATTGAAAATGGTTTTTAGACAAGCTGATTTGGAAATACACACTATAAAGATGGATACACAGTTGGTGATAGAAGTTTGGGAGTCATCAGCATCTGGGTGTAGATGAAATAACCAGAGCCAGCTTGTAGAGCAAGAACATGGCTTTTGATAGAGATGTGGGAAACATCAATCCTTATTGTGTATATATAAAATAAGGAGCCAACAAGGGAAACTGAAGCAGAGCAAAGAGGTGAAAGAAGCAGCAAAGCAAATTAGATATCTTGGTCATTGAGGGAAAAGAGCACAGCCTAACTCTGCCTTGCCCTTACTAGAGACCAGAGGTTTGTTTTCTGGAAAAACTGACCTAAGAAGTTCTGGACCCAGACACAAGAATGGGCAGCAGACTGATTGCAGGGGAGTAGAAAGTTTATACCTTGAGCTGTGAGATTCTCATCTTACCTCCCCTAACCTGTTCCCGGAATTCAGATAGTCTGCCCCAGAAAGGTTACTGGAGGACTTTTCCCTTTAAAAACTATTAGAAGATGTAAAGAGGAAGAGAGAGAAAGCGAGAGAGTGAGAGAGAGGATAGATAGATGACTGATAGAGAGATATATTAGATAGATGACAGATTAGACAGATGATAGGCAGATCGATAGATCAATAGATAAAAGAAGTCAAATATAAGCAATCAGGGAAACAGATAACTCAACCTAGGCAAAAGGGCAATAACTGTGCAGCAGGCCTAGAAAACAACCAGTGCAGACTGAATATGGAAGCAGAAGGCTGAATAGGAAGGCTTCCAGGGAAAAATATGAAACTGCTGTGTTTAAGTGTTTGGAAAAATTACTGATAGGTGTTTGGCAAGTCTAATGGAGCATTTAAAAAAATATGTATATACATACATGGAAAACCAAGCAGATGAAAAATTAAAACAATTATTCTTTTGAAGGGGGAAATGTGGTAAGAGGAAGAGAGCAAAATCATAGTATACTACTTGGCTCAACAGATAGTAATATTTATTTTTATTTATTTATTTTGAGACAGGGTCTTACTTTGTCACCCATGTTGGAGTGCAGTGGCACTATCTCTCACTGCAACCTCTGCCTCTCAAGCTCAAGCAATCCTCCCACCTCGGCTTCCCGAGTAGCTGAGATTAAAGGGACGCACCAACATGCCTGGCTAACTTTTTGTATTTTTGAGGCTGCAGTCTAAGTTTTGCCATGTCATCCAGGCTGGTCTGAAACTCCTGAGCTCAAGTTATTCAGCTGCCTCAGCCTCCCAGAGTGCTGGGATTACAGGCATGAGCTACCGTGCTATATTTAAATTTAAATTTGCACTGCAAAACACATAAATATATAAATGTTGGCTGCTGATTTATCAAAAAGTTGAGGATGTAATCATATTGGGAAAATGAGAAAAAGGAAAGAGAAGGGATAAGTGAGAAGGTTAAACCTTCAACCATCAAAACAATAATGTGAAGACAAAAGACATCTAAAATCTAGAAATAAAAAGTAACAGTATAAGCACCTTAGTTAGAAATATGGAGATAAATGCCAGAAGAAACAGCTAAGAATTGGAAGTGATTTTCTCCGGGGGACAAAACTGAGGGCTCAGGGAAGTGGTAAGGAACATCTGTTTTCATTGTCTTTTAGCTCTGGCTTATATTTGAACTATGTATATGAATTTTTTTTTATTAAAAATAAAAAGCGATTAATGATAAATGGGAAGCGCGAGACTGGAGGCAGGAAATGTTGAGTGTTCTGTCAATAGCTCACCTGGGCATGGAAGGAGACTGGGCAGTAGCTACAGAGGACTGCACAGATGAAGGAGGAATTTTGCTAAAATGAGAGAGGTCAGAGGATAGCAAGTGAAAACGAGAAGTGGAAAGACCAGAGAACAAAGAAATAACCAATGATGAGACCCTAAAGGAGACAGAAAGGAAACATTATCTAGGTTGGGGAAATTTTGGAATTGTATCTTCCTATTTCTTGGGAAATCCTCTCTATGCCCATCTCCTCATTACTCGTTCTCTGTCTCTGCCTCCAGCCTCCAGTATAAATGTGCTCTTCATATCTATAACCCTGTGTTTTTCCCAACAAGGAAAGTCTCACCCTTTCCCCAGTATTCTGAATCTGGGGAATGAGAAATTTAAATATTTTTACATTTCATATTCTTAAACTTGTTTTCATGTCTCCAAAATTATACTCTTCCCATACTACACATGAAAGCTATTTTTCACTTCTTTCTTGAAGACATTTGAGTAAGAGCTCTGGGTACACCCTTAATGAATACCCTAAAATCTCTAGAGAGAGCTCGATTGCCGCCTATCAACCAGTCCTCACTGGAAATACAATTGAAACACCAGTAGAAACTGAATAACTTAAGCAGATGACCTAGATATATAGCTCACATGCAAAAATAATAATAAACACTCTTGGGGCTATGTCCCATATCGAAACATTTCTGGAATCATGCATGTAAGGTGGACACCACCATAGTGTGCTGAAATAGTCAGCAGCTTACAATTATTCTCAGGCAGTGAAGACCAGGGTCTCCTCTGTAGCTGTGTAGGTCGTGTCCTGCACATCCCTAGAGGGTACCAACGCACCGAAGTCTGTGGAAATGACCCACCCTTCCCACCCCTAAGTCACCCATCATCCCAAGATTTCAGGGTGAGGCCTAAGCAACAGCTGTACACACCAGCCACAGTGAGACCCCTTTTACTTTACTATGTGGTACGTTTCAGGACAGAGAAAATATTGCAAACTTTTAATCCCATTCACCCCTACAAAAGCACATTAAATTGCATCTTAAAAGTACTGTCTTCACAAATGGAAGTTGGATTTGTAATACATTTAGTCCTCCACCTCCTATCCCCAGTGGATTTTATTTCTAATGTGTGGCTTAAAGCAAAGCTATCCAATAAATATAGAGTGGGCTCTAAAATTACATAGAAAAACTGTCATGGTGGTTGTTCTTTACCATTTCTGAAAAGCAAATCTGTGTTGTTCTGCCAAGTTTTTTTAGCAGTTGTACTTTGTGGGTGGCTCTATTCCAATATCTAGATGTGTAA